AAAAAAAAAAAAGGTGGCAAAGGTATAAGAAGAAGAAGAAGAAGAAGAAGAAGAAGAAGAAGAAGATGAGAGGGGGAGGAGGAGGAGGAGAGAAGAAGCAGAAGAATAAGAGGAGGAGGAGGAGGAGGGACGAAGAAGAAGAAGAAGAAGAAGAAGAAGAAGAAGAAGAAGATCAGACCGGCAGTCCTCGTCAACGGGCGGCAGTGGATGCTGGCAGGGAGCAGCACGACGATGGATGACGGGGGCGACGGGTCACGGCGACGGCGATGGCGATGGCGATGGCGACGGGCTACGGGCGATGGCTCTCCCAGGTGATGGCGATGACTCTCAGCTGCTTCGACGAAGGACGGACGCAATGACGAAGGCAGGCAGCTGGAGGACAGGCCCCGTTTCGAAAGCCGATGCAGACCGCCCCAGGCAATCGCATGTTCAAAGGAGGCTTTGCTTTTCCCTGCAAAAACGAACGGCCCTCCGACCGTCAAAAATTCAAAAAAAAAAAGCAGGCCTCACGGGCCCGACGCGCCGTTTTCTTGGCGTGGTCGGACCCGGTAAGCCCTGCCAACAACAAATGGACCCATTTCGGGGTCGAAAACCCCCCGCCATGAAGGTGTGCTGGGGGGGCCCGGCCCCCAACCGGCCAGGCCGCCCAGGACCTCCCCCGGGCAGGCGCCGGTCGACTGGGCGGCCCGGATCCATACTCAGTTTAGTATTCGATTTTGCTTTTTTTTTTTTTGTTGATTGATTGATTGATTGATTGGTGGGGGAGGGGTCGCCCCGCCCCTGCCACCCACCACGTGCCTGCACACACTCACACACACACACACACACACACACTGTGCTGTCCACGCGCGGGCGAGGGCGCAGCGCGGCAGTGGCGGCAGCGCACACACACGCACAAACACACACACACACACACACAAACACACTTACCTGTTCTTTGTCTCTCTCTCTCTCTCTCTCACACACACACACACACACACACACACACACACACACACTCGTTCACTCACTCACTCACAATCAATCAATCAATCAAATCCCGTTTTTGTTTATTTAGTTTGAAATTCTGCATCTGCATTTTTTTAAAACACCTCATACCCCTGCAAAAAACAGAATAAATCCAATTTAGTTTTTGATTTTTTTAAAATCCTAAACAAAGTCGGATTCCAAAAAAAAAAAAAAAAAAAGGGGTTGTAGGGCTTAAAATTCCCTATACCCCCCCTTTTTTTTTTTTTTTTACCTATTATTTAATTCAGGAAAATTCTGGTAAAATCGGGTCCGCGGCGCAGACCAGGATGGCCGCGGACGCGGCCACATATGAGGCCGCCATCCGAGATCAGCCCCGCGGACGCATCCACGGGTGTTTCATAGTCTGACGGCGAGTTTGGCGCACGGCACTCGGCGTCAGACTCTGTCTGATGCCCTCTCTCTCTCTCTCTCTGTGTGTGTGTGTGTGTGTGTGTGTGAGAGTCCCACCAAGAATGAATCTTCCTCTTTATCAAGGAAGATTCATTCTCATTGGGCATGTCTCATTTCCTTTTTCTTTTTTATTTCTTTTTTCGTGCAGAATGTTGTCTGTTTTTTTGTGTTTTTTCTTTTTTTCTCCCTCGTTTCCATGATGTACTACCGCTAGTCCGAGGCTCGGCAATAAAGTCCAAGGTTTGGCAATCATCGGGCTACCAGTCGCCCGAGCGTTGGACTTGATACCTAGGTGAGGTACTGGTGGTTGAAGAAAAGGCAAGTTTTATACCCAAACCCAAAGCCAGGCCTACGCCAGTGCCAGCCATGACATTTTTTAGGCTCAACATCAATAAAAGAAAGCCCTGACCCTGGCTGCTCCACCACGCCTACCTTCTTCCCCCGAATACAACGTACAGTCATTATAAATGTATTTAGACTGAAAGATAAGCCAGATTCGGCTATAATGACCGTACGTTGTATTCGGGGGAAGAAGGTAGCGTGGTGTGTGTTCGCAGCCCGTCAGGGATGCGCTTTCCCCCCTGAGACATTTCAATGTTCAACGTCAAAAATTTCAACGGTGGTCGTCGGGAGAGTGGGCATTTGAGGTTTTGGGGCCTTGCAAGGGCCAGGAACGCGTAGGACCGGTACCTGCCCGTAGGAGGCCGAGAGGAGGCCGCCATCCTTAAGCCTTTTTCGAAATTGAAAAGGCGCAGGTCCACTTTCATCGAATAGCATAGCACCTCGAATAGATAACGTACACTTTGCATTCGAACACAACATGTACGTTTCTATTCGGATTTCGAAACGGAAAAAGTCTTGTATTCCAATAAAATTACTTTTTTTTTTGGGGTAACTACGGCGCAGTCACGAAAACAGTTTGTAATTGCAATTGAAACTGCATTTTAGCAGTTTAGTCAGGGCCCGAGTTTCAATTGCCTTTGAAACTCGGGCTTAGCAGTTCAATCAGGGCCCTCGTCTATCCACAAAAGATAAAAATATTAAAAAAAAACATCCCTTATGCTGTGATTGCGGTCATATACAGGATGATACAGTGTTTGTCGGGAACTGAATGAAGCGAGGCAGTTAGCTGCCTCGCGTGGAATCCGCCCTGCCTGGCTGGCAGGGCGCTACAAGGACCTCACAGAAGAAACAAAAAAGGAAAATGACCTGTTTCATGTTTCCTCACTTCCTGGCCAGATACATTCCTCAAAGCACTGGTGAGGTGAGGGCCTTCCCGAATTCGAAG